TGACAGTGACAAAAGAATTTCTAGTGACATAGGGAAGTGTTGTGATATTAAACAAACAAAAAATCCACGTATAAAATGACATATAAACCCGTTAGTATCGAGTCAATTCAGACTCGGCCAACCTATAGGACAGACTAGAACTGCCCCATAGGGTTTCCAAGGAGCAGCTGATGGATTGGAACTGTTGACCTTTTGGTTAGCAGCTGAGCTCTTAACCACTGCGCCACCAGGGCTCCAAAATGACATATAGTTTTGGCCAGTATGAGAGAAGGAGTTGACACAGAGAAGCCTCCTTCCTGCTTCAAACACACAGAAATGCTGATAAAACTGAGCAAATTTTAAAATTACATAAGCAAGCTCAAAACCAAACACACAAAAAAGGGAAATTCTCAGGGAACTGGTTAGAGCACTGGGCATTAGAGCACTGGGCAGGCACTGATCTGGAACAAGCCCAGGGGCAGGTGGAGGTGGAGGTGTGTGGGGATGAGATCCACATCAGACTGGGGCATTGTGATCTAGGAGAGAGCTCTGGGCACCTGGCCCCATTCTAGCTCCGAGTGGGAAGGGGCCACCTGCATAAAGCCAGATTCACAAAGTGCCGCTCCAGCCCTGAACTGAGCACCAGAAAATCTCTACCCACTGGCCCAGGGAAGGAGCAAGGCATCCTGCCATCTACCTAGGGTCATGGATGGAGAGAGAATCACCAGCAAAACAAACAAACAAGACAGTAGGCTTGCACTGAGCAGGTTTGGGGTCTGAATTCATGGAACCTCAGTAACACAAGGACTCAAAACTGAAAAATTAATATAAAAAATGTCTGGAACTATTGAAATTCATACAACTCCCCCACGGATGCACAACTCACCAAATATTAAATAGATAATTTGAATATCCCTATAGCTATTAAGAAAGTTGAATTCAGGATTTAAAAATTCATAAAAAACAGAATAGAGAACCCAGAAATAGCCCCACACAAGTATGGCCAACTGGTTTTTGACAAAAGCAATTTAACGGAAAAAGAATGGTCTTTTCAACAAAAGCAGTTGGATATCCATAAGCAAAAAATATGAACCTCAACCTAAATCTCACACTTTATAGAAATATTAACTCAAAAAAGATCATGGACTTAAATGTAAACTATAAAACTTTTAGAAAAAGCATAGGAGAAAATCTTTGGGATCTAGGGTTAGGCAGAGTGTTCTTTAGATTTGACACCAAAAGCACAATCCATACAAGGAAATATTGATGAATTGAACTTTATCAAAATTAAAAACTTTTGCTCTGTGACAGACCCTGTTAAGAGGATGAAAAGACAAGCTACGGATGAGAAAATATTTGCAAACCACAAAGCAGACAAAGGACTAGTGTCTAGCGGGTTCTTGATCATATGCTGCCTCCTGAAATGGCTGAACATCCCCAGATTCTTTTTGGTACAGTGACTCTGTGTATTCCTTCCATCTTCTTTTGATACTTCCTACGTGGTTCAATATTTTGTTCATAGTATCCTTCAATATTGCAACTCGAGGCTTGAATTTTTTCTTCAGTTCTTTCAGCTTGAGAAATGCCGAGCGTGTTCTTCCCCTTTGGTTTTCTAACTCCAGGTCTTTGCACATTTCATTATAATACTTTACTTTGTCTTCTTGAGCCACCCTTTGAAATATTCTGTTCAGCTCTTTTATGTCGTTTCTTCCATTCACTTTAGCTACTCTACGTTCAAGAGCAAGTTTCAGACTCTCTTCTGACATTCATTTTGGTCTTTTCTTTCTTTCCTGTCTTTTTAATGACCTTTTACTTTCTTCATGTATGATGTCCTTGATGTCATCCCACAACTCTTCTGGTCTTCGGTCATTAGTGTTCAGTGAGTCATATCTGTTCTTGAGATGGATATACTTTGGCTCTCATGGACTTGTTTCGATTTTCTTCAGCTTCAACTTGCATATGGGCAATTGATGGTCTGTTTGGCAGTTAGCCCCTGGCCTTCTTCTGACTCATGATATTGAGCTTCTCCATCATCTCTTTCCACAGATGTAGTCAATTCGATGCCTTTGTATTCATCTGGCGAGGGCCACATGTATAGTTGCTGTTTATGTTGTTGACAAAAGATATTTGCAGTGAAGAAGTTGTTGATCTTGCAAAATTCTATCGTGTGATCTCCGGCATCATTTCTATCACTAAGGACATATTTTCCAACTACCGATCCTTCTTTATTTCTAACTTTCGCATTCCATTCACCAATAATTATCAATGCATCTTGATTGCACATTTGATCAATTTCAGGCTGCAGAAGTTGGTAAAAATCTTCAATTTTTTCATCTTTAGCATTAGTGCTTAGAGCGTAAATTTGAATAACAGTCATATTAACTGGTCTTCCTTGTAGGTGTATGGATATTATCCTATCACTGACAGCGTTGTGCTTCAGGATAGATCTTGAAATGATCTTTTTTTAATTTTTATTTTTATTGTGCTTTAAGTGAAAGTTTACAGTTCAAGTCAGTTTCTTATACAAAAATTTATACACACAGTGCTACGTGACCCTAGCTGCTCTCCCTATAATGTGACAGCACACTTCTTCTTTCCACACCGGATTTCCCATGTCCATTCAACTAGCTCCTGTCCCTTTTTGCCTTCTTATCTCGCCTCTGGACAGGAGCTGCACATTTAGTCTCTTGTATCTACTTGAGCTGAGAAGCACTCTCTTCACGAGTATCATTTTATGTCCCATAGTCCAGTTTAATCTTTGTCTGAAGAGTTAGCTTCAGGAAGGGTTTCAGTTCTGGGCTAATGGAGAGTCCGGGGGCCGTGTCTTCTGGGGTCCCTCCAGTCTCAGTCTGACCAGTAAGTCTGGTCTTCTTACTAGAATTTGAGTTCTGCACCCCACTTTTCTCCTGCTCCATCAGGGACTCTCTGTTGTGTTCCCTTGAAATGATCTTTTTGACGATGACTGCAATGCCATTCCTCTTCAATTTGTCATTCCTAGCATAGCAGATCTCTCATGGATTGAATTGTGCCCCCCTAAAATGTGTGTCCACTTGGCTAGGCCATGATTCCCAAGATTGTGTGATTATCCACCATTTTGTCATCTGATGTAATTTTCCTATGTGTTGTAAATTCTACCTCTATGATGTTAATGAGGCAGGATTAGAGGCAGTTATGTTAATGAGGTAGGACTCAATCTGCAAGATTAGGTTGTGTCTCAAATCAGTCTCTTCTGAGATATAAAAGAGAGCAGAGAGACAAGGAGACCTCATACCACCAAGAAACAAGAGCCAGGAGAACAGCGTGTCCTTTGGACCTGGGGTCCCTGGGCTGAGAAGCTCCTACACTAGGGGAAGATTGATGACAAGGACCTTCCCCCAGAGCCGACAGAGACAGAAAGCCTTCTCCTGGAGCCGGCACCCTGAGTTTGGACTTCTAGCCTCCTAGACTGTAAGAGAATAAACTTCTCTTTGTTAAATTCATCCACTTGTAGTATTTCTGTTACAGCAGCACTAGATAACTAAGACAAGACCTTATGATTGTCCAATTCAAAACGGCCAATACCAGTCCATTTCAGCTCACTAATGCCTAGGATATCCATATTTGTGCATTCCATTTCATTTTTGATGAGTTTCAATTTTCCTAGACTCATACTTCGTACGTTCCACGTTCTGATTATTAATGGACGTTTGCAGCTGTTTCTTCTCATTTTGAGTCGTGCCACCTCAGCAAATGAAGGTCCCAAAAGCTTGACTCCATCCATGTCATTAAGGTTGACGCTACTTTGAGGAAGCAGCTCTTCCCCGGTTGTATTTTGAGTGCCTTTCAACCTGAGGGGTTTATCTTCCAGCATTACATCAGACATGTTCCGCTGCTATTCATAATGTTTCCACTGGCCAGTTTTCTTCAGAAGTAGACCGTCAGATCCTTCTTCCTAGTCTGTCTTAGTCTGGAAGCTCCACTGAAATCTGTCCACCACAGGAGACCCTGCTGGTATTTGAAATACTTGTGGCATAGCTTCCAGCATCATGGCAACGTGCAAGCCACCACAGTATGACAAACTCACAGATGAGTAGTGGTACAAATTTATGAAATCTCTTTGTACCCTATTTACTTTCTTTCAGAATAGTGGTAAAATCTAAAGAGATCTTTGTATGCTCCTTAAACTGTATTTTGCTATGTTTAAGAGGATTTGGTGGCGCAAATGGTTAAGTGCTTGGCTACTAACCAAAAGATTGGCAGTTTGAATTCAGCCAGAGAATCCGCAGAAGGCCTGGCAATCTACTTAAAAAAAAAAATCAGTCATGGCAAACCCTATGGAGCACAGCTCTACTCTGACACACATGGGGTTGCCATGAGTCAGCACTGACTCGATGCCAACTGGTTTAAGATGATTTGGGGTGTGGGAGATGGGGAGGGTGGAGACTAGCCCTTCCAACAGAATGGCAGGTGCTTTTACATGATTTGGTGACGGTGAGAGAAAAGTCCACTCCTCCATTTTGGGAGGCAGTTGGGGGAGGGCTAGGCAGGGCGTTGGGCAGAGGCAGATTCACCACAAAGCTAATGAAACAGGAGCTTCAGGGACCCCCCTCACTTGCATGGCCCCTGCAAGGTCTTGCACCTAATTGTAATTTTGTATTCTTTTTCTCAAAGAGAGCCCCCTAAGTTATATAAGCCCCACAAACCAATTGCAGTCAAGTAGATTCTGACTCATAGCAACCCTATAGGACAGAGTAGAACTGCCCCATAGGGTTTCCAAGGCTATAATCTCTGCAGAAGCAGAATGCCGCATCTTTCTCCCACTAAACTGCTGGTGGGTTCAAACTGCTGACCTTTCAATTAGCAGCCAAGCGCTTAACCACTATCCCACCATGGCTCCTTATATAAGCTCCAGTTCCCACCAAATCTGGTCTGTGCCTTTGATGTTGGTTTTTATTTTTCCTTGGCTCCATGCTGGGGAGAACCTGGTGTCTCAGGGGAAATGTGAGTATCTCAAGAAGAAGAAAGAAGAAATGTCTACTTGCCTTGAGCTTCTCAGCAGCATCTTCTATCTGGGTTATGTTATCAACTTCTTGTTGCTTCTTGGTTGCCAACTGCTTTAAACAGTCTTGGGTGAGTTTCTGTACATGAGGCAGAAGGGATAAAGTCTTTTAATACTGTCACTTCGAGAAAACAAGGCACCCCAATGACCATCTCCTCTCTCCCTTATTTTTTTCTACTGAGGTATCTGAGACTCAGAAGGTGAGGTGACTTGCCCAAAGTCACATGGCAAATTGAGGGAGTAAGTTGAGCTGGGCCCCTTTGATCCTCAGAAGCCCACATTAGGTATTCATCAAATCTTGATGTCTCTCCACTTTTTTTTTTCCTTAGGATAAATTCCGCTTGTGATCTGCTTTTCTAGCCCCTCAGATAGGACCTTAAGGCAAGCAGTTTGGAGTCAGGGAAAAGCATTCACTTATTGAATACTAACTGAGCACCTACTCATCCTTCAAGGTCAATTCCAATGGAACAGTGCCAGGCCTTGTTCCAGGAACTGCCCTTGTGGAACTTACATTCCAGGGGCACTGTGGCCCTCCGGCCCTGGACTGGCATCAGAAGACATTTGTGAGAGCTCTGAGGAGTTCATGCTCCCCTTGCCCTCCCACCTGAAACGGCTTCCTCCCAATCTCTGCTTTTTGAACTTGCCACTTCTCCAGAGGCCTGCTCTGTGACCTCTCCCTGCCCACACACAAGGTGTGACCTTATTACTCTCTATCCCACCTTTCTTACAGCTGGTCTTACACTCAGCCACTCGGCCCAGGTCTGGCTGCCCTGGCTACAGGGAGCTTCCTGAGGGCAGGCCCTAAGTCTGTTCCATTCCTGAATCCCCCATAGGGCCTAGGAGGTGACCCATAAGTGTTTGCTGAACTGAACAGAATTTAAAAAAAACCCGTTGCCATTGAGTCAATTCTGATCTGACTTATAGTGACCAGCAGAGAGCTGTGAAGTCATGTGGAAAGCTGTTAAGATCACAAGCCTTAGAGTAGATGAGAACTAGGTCTGAGTCCCAACTCTCTTTCCACGTGACCTGGCCAAGTGACCTCACCTTTCTAAACCTTGGTTTTCCCAGCTGTAAATGTGGATAACCCATAGGGTTGCCATGGGGGCTAAATGAGAAGATGTATACAAAGTAGTACTTGGTCCAGTGCCTGGCACACAGTAAGTGCTCAGTACATGTAGCTCTTATTGTTATTTTCATACACAACTAACATTTGCTTTTGGGCCTACTGTGTGCACAGTTTTATTCTAGGCAAGGGAGGAGGGGAGGAGATAATCATAACTCAAGTATAAGCCATGGCCTGAATTTCCAGGAGCACTTCCTTACCCCCTTGTTATTCCCAGGCCTTCAAGTTCAGTTCCTGTCCATCACCCAAGAATACTCCTAGCCTCCTGTGTCTGTGCCCTCCAGCCACAGGATGCTTCTCCTGTTTTGGTGCCTCTGCTCTGCCTGGTGACATTCTACTCATCCTTCAAGGCCAATTCCAATGGAACTTCCTCCAGGAAGTCTTCCTGGGCTTCCTGTACCTGGCCCATACTGTCTTTTCTCTTGTTCTCACTGACCCTTGCCTGGGGCTCCCTCCTTACAGTACTTATCACACTGTATTGTCATGGCCTGTTCTCCCCGCTCCAGCCAGGGGGCTCCTCCAGGTCAAGAAAGGATTTGATCTATCCTTGACTCTCCTAGAAGATAGGGTTTGGCACAAGGTATGTGCTGAACAGATGTTTGATGAATGACTGAATGACTGAATGGATGATGGGTGGACGGATGAGCGCAGTGACCTCTCTAGGGTTGGTATCACCCAGTGCGGTAACTCATGGTGTCACCCTCCCCCTCCCATGGATCTCTTCCCATACCAGACCATACAGAATCCTTAGTAATGTTCTTTGTACTAATGTTATGCGTAAATGATAATTTTTGTATATCACTCCTTCTTTTCCTTTTAATTACTACCTCATTCTCAAAAAAGTTACTGATACAGGTTCGCAAATATTAATTACCACAATATTGTAGCTAAAACACCAGAAAATCTGACAAAATCAGTGACTATAAAAACACTAGTAGCAATGAAATCAATGGCTCATGCTTGTAGCACAGGCAGATGAAACCATGTGATTCGAAGTGTCATTATAATTGGGTAATAATGACAGCTCTGACTGGAGGGCATTAGAAGTTTCAAAAAGTTAATTAGCATAGAGTTTCAGCCTTGTAGGTATATTGATATGTAAGCTGGGCTTATGAAGAATGTTTTTGTTGTTATAATTAACTACAGGGGTAGTTTTAGAAAAAATAAATTTCTGCTGAAGCACTGCACAAAAATTTTAGACAGTCATTTTGGTGTCGCCCCCGACAGTTTCACCTGGTGTGGTCTGCACCCCCCACACCCCCTTAGTGACGCCACTGGATGAGTGGGTGGATGTACGGATGTAAAAATGAGTACACATAGGTAGGTGGATAGCTGAGTGGGCAAATGGATGACTGGGCAGAGACTACAAGCCATATCTCCGGAAAGCAGCCTTGTTATCTCTTGATAACAGCTTTGTGGGGAGCTATTATTTTTATTACAGTCATTTTACAGATAAGAAAACTAAGGCTCTGGAGGCAGAGGCAGGCTTCAAACCCAGGACTCTACAAGCCTGCCCCCCACAGGGCTCATTTCACCCTAGAGCTCCAAGATTGTTACAGTGCGGTGGCCACCATGCAGGGAAAAGCTCATCTGGGGACTGGGTTTAATCACAGAAGACTTCTTGAAGGTGGAAGTGGCAGAATCAATATCCGTCAGATATGAGGGCCCTGCCAAGCCCTGCCTGAAGCCCAGAGAGAGAGCGGTTTGACCACAGTCGCAGAACAAACCAGCAGCAAGGCTGGAAAAGGTGCCCAGAGCCCATGGCCACTATTATGGGTGAGGGCTCCAAGGCGAGAATGGGCCCTTTGTGGGGTAGCCCAGCATGTGAAGTCCTGGGTTCAAGATCTGCCTCTGCCTCCCAGCCTTAGTTTTCTTATCTGTAAAATGACTGTAATAAAAATAAAATAAAAATAAAATAACTGTAATAATACTAGCTCTCCACAAGGCTGTTATACCCGTGGAGGGGACTGTCTGTGTATATGTGAGGGAGGCAGAGCAGAGGTAGGTAGCGGTGATGTTGAGGCTGTTCCCTGGAAAAATCAGGCAATCTGGTAGTCCACAGTTCCTTTCTGTGAAGCCCAGATATAAAAACAACCAGAGGAGATTTTTGTGTGGCTTTCTGGAGTTACACAGCTGTTTTCTAGCGGGGGTGCGAGTGGGTCACCTTTGTTAAAAGGCTGATTTTCTTCCAGTCCAAGGCCAGTGTGGTGGACCAGACATGGCGGACCACGTGAAAGAAGTCTTGGTACCAGCAGCCTAGAGTCCCAAGTTCTGCCTCCCAACTCCACCTCTTCTGAGGCTTAATTAATGGCTTTAGGGTCGCCTTTGTCCTTCCCTGGGCCTCGGTCTCCCGTCCTGAACAACAGGTTGACGCCTCGATTACCTTTAGTCACCTTCGGGACTGTCAGTACGACCCTAGCACGCCCCCTTCCCGCCCGTTGCGCCGGTATCGGCCCCGCGCGCCGCACCCATCCCCACCTGCACGAGCGCCGCCTCTTCCAGCGCCAGGCGGACAGGGTGGCCGCGGTGCGCGCCCAGCACTGGGCACAACGCGCATACGCAGTGGTGGCAGCGGCGACAGAAGAGCTCGGCCACGCGGTCGCCGTGCTCCAGGCAGCGCCAGCCGCGCGGCTCCTCGGGCTCTGCGGCTCCTGGTCCCCCAGTTCCCGCAGTTGTCCCGCTTGTCGCCGCTGCAGCCGCCATTCATCCCCACTTCTGGCTACGCGATGCAGGGTGTGTTTCCGGTGGAGAATCGAAACCTAGGCGTGCGGGAGGAAGCGGCATGTGGCCCAGCTCCCGGATTGAAGGACTTGAAGGCAGCATCTTTCTGCCAAGAGTTGGGTCAGGCTTGGTCCAGCCAGTCCTAGCTGTCTGGCCAGGAGGTGGCCACGACGGAAATGGGAGTTCGTTCCTAATGAGCAGACTGAAGGAGCGGAGGGCTGCTTCTTGCTGATTCCGCGGCTTTATCTTGCTTAGTGCCGCCGTTCAGTAACGCCCAGAACACTGCAGCCCTTGGATGGCAGCAGGGTTTGCTGTGGCTTTCCCTGAGGCTGTGCACTTCACACGTTCACTTGCCCTTTCCCCAGAAGAGATAACCATTCCCACACTTGTAAGAAGAAAGAGTTGTGGTCAAGTCCACTCTGACTCATGGAGGTCCCCTGCGTGTCAGAGTAGAGCCGTGTTCCATAGGGTTGGATTTTTCGGAAGTAGATCAGCAGGTCTTTTTTTTTTTGAGGTGCCTGTGGGTGGACTCGAACCTCCAACCTTTAAGTTAGCAGCCAGAATGTTTAATAGTTTGTACCACCCAGGGACACCCAGGACAAATCTGTCTGGAAGAAATACAGCCAGAGTGCTCCTTAGAAGCAAGGATGGTGAGACTTTGTCTCATGTACTTTGGACATGTTATCAGGAGGGACTAGTCCCTGGAGAAGGACATCATGCTTGGTAGAGGGTGATCGAAAAAGAGGAAGACGCTCAAAAAGATGGATTGACACAGTGGCTGCAACAATGAGCTCAAGTGTAATGATTGTGAGGATGGCGCAGGACTGGGCAGTTTTTCGTTCTGTTGTACATAGGGTCGCTATGAGGGGACTCCTGTGAGTAAGAAAATCCCTGGACGCAATGAGTTTATGTTAATGGAGGAGGAACAATTTGAAAAACGAGGGTGAGAATGGTTGTACAACTTGAAGAATGTAGTCAAGTGTCATTGAATTGTACATGTAGAAATTGTTGAATGCTCTGCTGTGTATATGCTCAACAATAACAAAAATAAAATAAATTAAAAAAAAAATAATAAAACTCCCTGGTAATTCAATCCCTCCCAGGCTGAAGTCCCCAGCTTCCACTTACAAGGCCCTTGGCTTTTTTCCTTCTTGCTATGCTCTACACTTTGCTTTGGTTAAGTGAACTCAACAGCCACTCTGTGGGAGGAAGATGTGGCAGTCTGCTTCAGTAAAAATGAGAGCCTTGGAAACCCTACAGGGCAGTTCTAATCTGTCCTATCGGGTGGCTATGAGTCGGAATCGACTCAGCAGCAGTGGGTTTAAACATGGTGTAAGGAGCCCTGGTGATACGATTGTTAAGTACTAGTCTGCTAACTGCAAGGTTGAAGGCTTGAACCCACCCAGCCGCTCTGTGGGAGAAAGACCTGGCAATCAGCTCCCATAAAGATTAAAGGGCTCCTTCCCATAAAGATTATACCCTAGAAAACACTATGGGGCAGCTCTACTCTGTAACTTGGCGTCACTATGAGTCACCTAACCAAAAGCAACAAACATTGTCTGCTGCCCAAATACCCTTTGCCCCGCTTACTCCTATTTATCCTTCAGGCCTCAACCTAAATGTCACCTCGTCTAGGAAGCCTTCCCTGCTTCTCCTCCCAGAGCAGCCTGTACTTCCCCTCTCTTGGCCCTTCCCTGTCTCCCCTCCCCTCCTACCCCATTTTCATGACTGAAAACTCTATGAGGGCAGGGACCATGTATGTCTTTTTTCCCTGTGTGGCATCTGGCCCAAACAGTAGGTGATTAATTAGTATTGGTGAAACAAATCAAGAAAAACAAAACTCCATGTAATAAAATGTCTAGCCAGTTTTTATTATTTATTACACTCTTTCCATTGCACGATTCCACAGCGTTTATTTTCACTTTTGTTATTATTATTATTACAAAGGTAAAAGTAATTTCAGAAACAACGATAAAACAATCATTCAAACTATTTCAGGCACGGTTTCATATTAAAAGCATAAATCAACTTCTGACTGCCTGTTTCTCTCTCTGATATAATCTCAAGCCTTGTTTTAGGAAGAACAATTATTTTAGAGCTGAGGTGAATACGGAACCACCACCACCACAAAGCTCATTTCCATATTCTGCCCTCATTCTCAGAAAGTTCCTGAGTCTACAGTCAGGTGATACCCAGGGTATCAAGTAGCGGGGCGCTGAGTGCACCCTCTGCTGATTGGCTGGGCCCTGCTGGCTCTGGGCAAGTTCCGCTTGCCCAGCTCAGGAATATAAACAAAAACGTAACTAAAAAAAAAAAGGCTTAAAAAAAACCTGGTAAAAATTACCTATCCCTCTCCCTTGAGAAATAATTTAAATAATTTATTGTAGATGTAAAAAAAGAAAACAAGTTTGTTCAAAGATGCCTGCGTACTGTTTTTAAGCATGAGGTCTGGATCCCTCGGGGGTGGGGGGGCTTGAGAATGGATGGTGCAGAGGAGGCATGCTAAGAAGCTCTCTGGACTCAGCCCCCACCTCCACCACTCTGCAGCCAGTGGCCTTGGCCATGATGTTTCTTCACTGCTCTGAGATTATGTCTTCCCTCTGGACAAGAGGGTGAGGAGAACAACGCCTGCCTGACCAGCGTGAGAGCAGGATACATCAGTGAGCGGAGGTGGGAGGGCTTTGTAAACTGTGAAGTGCTGGCCACAAATGAGGTGGGCTAGGTAACCTCATCCAGTGGAGCTCTGCTTCCCTGACATGCCTGGAATTTGGCCTTTTTCTCCAGAGCACAATAAGGCAAGCTTGGCTGGGGCCTCAGACTGGAGCAAGCTCCAGTGACTGAGTGAACGGAAGACTAGAAAAGGAACAGGAATGTGGGCGTCTGGTGGGTGTAGACAGACAAGGGGAATCAGCCATGGTTAGGGAGGGGGCAAACAGGAACAGACAGCCCCCATCATGCTGCACTGGGGTCCCAGAGAGACCAGGGGCAGGGCTGGGGACAACACTTCTTGACTTTTTAGGAGCCTCCAGCCAGGACTTAGAGGATGTGGGTTTGAGTTCCAGCTCTCCGAAGACCTTGGAGTCCCAGCTCCTGTCTGGGGCTTATTGTCTTCATCTTCATTGCAAAGAGTACAGATGGACTAGTCCAGTGAGTCTCCATCCTCACCGCATTGCAGAATCACCCGAGGAGCTTACAAACATATACAGAGGTCCGCGCCTGCTCTGGAGATTCAGATTTAATTGCTCTGGGGTGGGGCCTGAGCATTTGTATTTTCTGAACGCCCTCAAGGTGATTCTAATGTACAAACCAAACAAAAAACCAAACCCGCTGCTGTGGAGTCGATTCCGACTCACAGGGTTTCCAAGGTTGTAATCTTTACAGAAGCAGACTGCCACATCTTTCTCCCGCAGAGCAGCTGATGGGTTTGAACCGCTGACCTTTTGTTTAGCAGCTGAGCACTTAACCACTGCACCACCAGGGTTCCTTCTCTAATGTACAGCCTGGGTTGAAACCCACTAGGCCAGGTGGCCTCCTGCAGCCCCCATTTTCGGTGAATCACCCTGCACAATTGGGAAGACTCATTGTCTGCCTCTCCTCAGTACGGAGGGGCACGATGAACTCCCAGTCACTCCCAGTCTTTTGCTGGGCCCTTATATTTACCACTTAGAAAGAGAGAACCTTAAACCAGGTTCAGAACACAGAGTCCCACAGGAGGACCCAAAAACTCTCAGGCCAGAAGGGGACTTCAGGGCCATCCAGCCCTGCCTCCTCACCTAGTACAGCCACCCCTCTCTAGAGGCCCTCCTGGGTGGTGGCCACAGGGCTGTGCTTGCACACTTCCAGTAAAGGGGACACTCAACCTCCTATGGGGGACCTTTTCTGTTAACTTGGGCTGGAAGCTGCCTCTGGGTAGTGGCAGAGGTGGGCTCTGTGACCCCAAGGGCTTTGGCGGTGGCCGTCAGTGGTCGTGGGCACCTCTTCGATGTCTGCATCCCCACATAAGGGAATCTACCCACATCTGGCTGATTCTGGTTGAAGAGAGGATGGTTTTGACCCTCTTGTCTATATTCTAGAATCAGGTTGAATCTTGACTCATTCCCCTAAGGTTAAACTCTCTCTGCCCCTTTGCCAGTGTCTTGTGAGTTTCTGCAGGAAACCCAGATCATCACCCCACATGTAGCTTCCTCAGGCCAAGGCCAAGGTTTCTTGTCTCAGGTGGTAGATCCTGTAGCAGGCAGCTCATTCAAAGGTCCCCCTTGATCAGATGGGGAAATTGAGACCAGAGGGGAAAGGCCTTGCCAGAGGTCACTGAGCAAGTTGGGGTACAGCTGAGGCCTGAACCAAAGGACTCCTGCCCAATAGGCTGAGAAGCGCATCAGACCAGAAACAGTGGGAAGACAAAGCCAGGAGACCCAGATCTCAGCTCAGCTCTACCATGAACATTCTGGTGACTTTGAGTTACTTGCCCTTCTCAGGAGCTCAGTTTCCCTACCTGTAAAATGGGGGAGTTGGACCCGATCAATGATTTTCAACTTCGAATTTTTTTTTTAGTAGCAATATTATATCTTCCATAGAAGCCCAATCAATAGAACAAATAGAAGGGGAGCTGTCTGGCTGGAGCAGTATAGGGGAGCATAGCCCTCCTGCTCAGCCTTCCCCTCACTCTGTAGATTACAGTTTGAAAATCACAAGGGGGTTCACCTCCCAGCTCTAACTTTCTAAAATGTTCTTTCCCGTTCAGAAGTTATAGCTCATCGTGGACCCTTAAAAACAGACTTAAACACCTAAAAAGTCAATTCAGAAACTTGTTGCAAGAAGGCAAATAGAAAAACGGCACCAGGTCCCACTGGCACCTCTTTCAGCGACTGAGAGTTTCATTTTCTGGTAAAAAATATAGAAATGGTTGTTCTTGGGGTACTTGTAGCTTGGTTCTGGACCTCCCCACGAAGCCAAGTGGTGTCCCTGAGGGCAAGGAGGGCAGAGGTTCCTGTTCAGAACCTCCCTGAGCCCATCTGCAAGTTTTTGATCTCCAGTTCCAACTGTTTGGCCTGCACCTCACGCTGGGTCAACAGCTCCCGGAGCCTTCGGATCTCCTCCTGTTGCCGGTAGAACATCTGCAGCAGCTGGAAAAGCAAAGACCAGAAGGCAAGGTCACCTGGGGTCATCAGCAGACAAGCTAAAACATGACCCCTTTTTGACTCCGAAAGATGAAGGTGGTTAAATTAATGTGGCTGAAGCCTGAGGGGGCAGCCATTACACAAACCTTTTATAATCTTTTTTTTTTTTTTCACCCAATAAATGAAATACAAAAAGACTTAAATGCCTCCTTAGATTGCTCATGGGATGGAGGAAAAGATACTTGGTCCTGAAGTCTGGAGACTGGAGTTTCCCCCACCACTAAGTCGTATGGCCTTGGGTAAGTTACTCACCCTCTCTGAGCTTCCATTTCCTCCTCTGGGAACTGAGCGCCAGAAAACTAACTTTATCATTGTAATTGCTGCCACTGTACGGAATGGCTACTAGGTGTTGAATGTTCTGCTAAGGACCATCATCTTCCCCCAGGATGCTCACAACACCCCAGGAGGGAGGTAGTGTTAGGACCCCATTTACCACTGGGGAAACATTTACTGAAGCTGACAGACATTCAGCCCCGGGGTGTGCGGTCCTACGTTAGCACTCCGCAAAGCTGCGATCAGAATCCTATGAGATGCCAGCCCTTGTGTTTTTAGCTCTGACAGTGAAACTTGTGAGAGCTGGAACTCGATGGGACTGCCTTGCTTTTCCTGGTCTTGCTAGTTTTCTGCTATGACAGGATGCAGTCTTACCACTTTTGCATTGCTCTCTATTAGTGGAAAATATTTGAGTCTTCCTTCTCCGACAAAACTCTTAAACAGGTTCTGGCTTTACACAGGTTTTATTGTATATACTATTATCGATTGAATTGTGTCCCCCAAAATATTGGTGTTGTAAATTCTAACCCCTAGACCTGTGGTTATAATCTCATTTGGGAATGAGTTTTCTTTGTTGCTGAGAGGACTTATCAATGTAGGGTGTGTTTTGAACCAATCACCTTTGAGATATGAGAAGAGCAGCTCAAGCAGAGAGAAGCAAGCAGAGATGGGGGAGGAGAGATGCCGCACGACATGAAGGTCACCCAGGAACCAAGGAACAAGGATCTTCCCTCAGAGCTGACAGAGAAAGCCTTCTGCTAGAGCCAGAGCCCTGAATGCAGATTTCTAGCCTCCTAAACTGTGAGAGCATACATTTCTGTTTGTTAAAGTCATCCACTTGTGGTATCTATGCTATAAAAGCACTAGATAACCAAGACACTGACTCCCAGGGCTGCTGAGAGAATTAAATCAGATGATATAGCCAAAGTAACTAACATAGGACCTGGTACACAGTAGGCACTTAATAAATGTTGACTCAGAAAGCAGAGAAAATCCTAGAATGTCAGAACCAGAAAAGACTTTAATACCTATCAGGTCAAACTCTCTTCATTTTACCAGCTGCTGTAGAGTCGATCCTGACATGGCAACCCCATGTGTGTCAGAGTAGAACTGTGCTCCACAGGGTTTTCAATGGCTGATTTTTCGGAAGTAAATGGCCAGGCCTTTCTCCTGAGGCATCTCCTGGTGGACTCAAACCTTTGAACTTTCAATTAGCAGCTGGGCACATTAGCCATTTGCACCACCCAGGGACTCTTTCTTCATCTGACAGTAGCGGAATAAACCTACCTTCTTGGTACCTGCTCACTGAATGATTTAACAAAGTGAGTTAAGTCACTAGTCCAGGCCATGCAGCTGGTTATTCTTCTGACCCTCATTTTCTCTCTCCTTCCCTCCCTCTTGTGCCACTCCTCTGGGGGAGGGCAGTGCTCATGCCCAATCCCCAGCAGCTCCCAGCTGGCCCTGTGCAGGCCCTTTGGATCTCAGCCCACCGCCCCTCAGTCACACCTCGTTCTCTGTCTTTGGTGGGGGACATTCGAAAACATCGAAGCCGTTTGTGAGCCAGGCTTTCTTCTCTTCCAGTCTGTGTTCTGCTGCCCGCCTTGGCACCTTCTCCTCCAGCAGGGAGAAGAGCCTCCGGCCACCCTCTGGAGCCAGCTTTCCCATCAGGTCCGGAGACCGGGGTGAGGCTGGGGCCATGGAGTTGGAGAGAGGCCTCCCTGGAGGCTGTGGCCGGGGGGTCAGCAGCTCAGAGCCAGGCCTGAGGGACACCAGGAGTGGTCCTAGGTGGGGGAGAAGCAAGGGCACTGTGAGGACTCAGCACCCATGAGCAGACAACTGGAGGGACTGATACACAGAGCCATGCAGAGACACACAGATACACGCAACCGGTGCCCGAGATACAGCCACACGCAGACAGACCCAAACACACCGACCAGGGCAATCAGCACAAATACCACACTGCAACTATCTGAACGACACCGGGCACACACGGGGAGCTGCCCCCACATACTGCGAGCTCCTCAAGCCAGTCCCACCCACACTGCACTCTGTCATCTACCAAGTCCATTAATTCTCCCAACACCCCAGAGAAGCGGGAGAGGCAGGTGTCTCGGACTCAGATGAGGAGGACACGAGGCCCAGAAAGGAGCGAGACCTGTCTAAGGGTTATACAAAACTGTGATGGATTCCACGGATTCACACTGGTCTCCTGCCCCCTCAGAGAGAGGCTCTTCCTTCCAGTCGCTTGGGAGGCCCCTCTCAATCATTGGTGGGTGAAGGAAATGGGAGGGGGAGGGGCGAGGGAAGGGGAAGTTCCAATCACAAAGGCAGCTGCTGGGGGGTGGGGGGAGTCACACACTGCTCCCTTCCGCTTAGGCTGGCCTTCTTGTGGTCAGGGAAGGGGGAGTGTGTCAGGGAAGGCAGAGTGGCAGAAGGGCTGGGCGGGGTCTGCTGCCTAGAGGGTCTCTCAGGTCAAGAATAATGGGGCTGGTGGGGAGGGCAAGAGGAGTCTGGCTGAGACTATCCAGTCACCCTGCACAGCCCAGAGTTTAAAGAAGTTTCCACAGGGCATGTCCCTTGAGCTGAGGGAGTTTTCTGAGCCACACGGGACACACCTCTCCAGAGGTTCCCCCATGCTTTCCCGGACCCATATGTGAGCATTTCGGTCACTGGGAACTGTCTTCCAGGGGCATGGAAGAATAAAAATATAGACCAAACCCCTCTCAGCTACCTGGGGCCATTGGGCACTCCATTTTCTCACCACATTTGCCTGAGGCTTTTCCCTGCCTTCCTCACCTCTGTTCATCCCACTGAGCCACTCCTGGGCGGTCATTGAGGGCTGGGCCCCTGCTGTTGAGGGGTAGATGTCCTCTTGGTAGGATTCCGACTGCAGGAGAAGGCAGGACAGAGAGATGAGGATGGCAGGAGGGGCTGCCCAGGTGGGAGAGCCCTTGCGAGCTGGGAGTCCAGTCTCTCCCCACTCCTGCTGAGGTGGGGAAATCAAGGCCCAGAGAGCAAAGTGACTGCCCAGGGTTACACAGCTACTCAAGAGTAGAGGTGGATGAGACCCAGGATTGCTGGCTCCTGGTGACACCACACTGACCATGAGAAAGGTCTTTCCTTTGGGGAGTGCCAGTGGCCTCCTTGTGGCATGCCCCTGACACCCCTGGCCCGTATCCCTCCTGGATGGCCCCACCACCCTTACCCGCCGGGGCACAATCATGGATACGGGCTCGATGAGGCTTTTGGTTGTGATCAGCTTGTAGAAGCGGAAGATCTCGCAGGAGGACACGTCAAGACCTCTCTTTGGCATGACACCTGCAGGCAGATGGCCAAGGGGGACAAGAGGTTACAGGGTAGGCTAGGGGCCACAGGGACCCGGGGTGAGTTGCAAAACCAGGCTGCACACCTGAACATCAACAGAAACCACCCTCCTCCTACCTTCCTTTGCTCAACAAATAGTGAACAAATAGCTATGCTGGGCTGGGCTCTGTACCAAGGAAACGCTGTCCTCACCTTCATGGATTTAAATTATTCTAGCTAGACTTTTATAGGTTTGTTCTGCATGTTGTTGCTGAATGCCGTGGAGTCAATTCTGACTCATAGTGACCCCATGTGACAGAGTAGAACTGCCCCACAGGATTTTCAGTTCAATTCCACAAGCCACTCCAGGAGAGAAAGATGTGGCAATCAGCTTTCATAAAGATTACAGCCTTGGAAACCCTATGGGGAAGTTTTACTCTGTCCTATAGGGTCACGCTCAGTTGGAATCGACTCAATGGCAATGGGTAAACTTTTCAGAAGCAGATCGCCAGGTCTTTCTCCCACAGAGCCACTGGGTGAGTTTGAACCATCAACCTTTCTGTTGGCAGCTGAGCGCTTAACTGTTTGCACCATAAGGGCCCCTTTTGCTCTGTGTAGGGTCCCCCATCTCCATCTCCACAGCTCCTCTGTGCCAAACGCAATTAAAACGTAGGTGGGGGGTGCTGCTCCCTGGAAACTCTCTCAGGTCAACCTCTCACATCTCCCTGCTATTGCTGTAACGGCTCTTCCCTGTGCCTGGAGCACCTTCAATCTCTCATGGTGCTCTACTCTGCTTCCTCTTTCAGCTCCTCAAATACTGCCTCCACTGGGAAGCCTTCTCTGACTTCCTACTTTGTGCTCTCAGACAACCTCCTGCACACCTCAGTTATAGCCCCAATTATAATTACAGTCCAAGTGTTGGGATGCCATCTCCCCTACAGAACGTGAGCCCCTCCAGGGAGGGCCCATGTCTGACTCATCCCTGTCTTCCCAGCCTGACACTGAAGCCCTGACCCCAAGTGGCCTCAGGGCCCCACACTCACCAATCCCCTTCTGTGGGTGATAGGATCGGTATTCGGACAGGTAGTTCAAGTGAGGCTTTTCCGAGCTCACCTCATAGTAGCGGATGTTCCCGTCTCCCTGAGGAAGAAGGTAAGATTCAGAGCTGGTTCCATCAGCTCCCCACCTGGCCACCCGCACCATGCAGCAAAAACCTGGCTCTCACAGTGAGTAACTGGCAAACCCACCTCACACAAGGGGAACACCAGGAGCCCAAGATCCCAACACCAAGTGCGAGGGGGTTCTCATGTTAACATTCCACTCCCCAGCCATGATCCAAAGCTCAGCTCTGTCCTCCAAAGCAGAAGCTTTGGGAAGACAGGCCTCAATCTTGCTCCGATCTGAGAGCTACATACGAAGGTCAGAACTGGCTGGTCCTTAGAGACGAGCCATGGGTCTTACCTCTAGGGGGGCGTTCTGATCGTCATAACAACTGGGTGGGGGGAGGGGACTGCTCCTGGCATTGGTGGGCAGTGGTCAGAAGTGTCAAATACTGGACAGTCCTACACAATGAAGACCTATTCTGCCCAAAATTCAAAGCGAAATACTGACTTGTCCCTCGACGTCTGGACCCAGAGTTGGGGAGGGACTAGAGCCGGATGTCCAGCCAAAGGCCTGGTGGGAGAGGTGCTGGGCTCACCACAGGCGAAGAGGGGCCAGCAAGTGTGTGCCTCAGGGTGGGTGTGTAGCAGGCAGGGCTCATAAGCTCTCTCCCCTCCCAGGGGCATTAAAGGGAAGGGGCTGTCACTGCAGGGGCAGAGAAGGCCCTGCCATGGTTTCCATACTCTGGTCCATCTGCAGGGTCCCCAAAATACTGAACGCAGCACATTATGTGCACAGTGTACCCACATTTCAATACAATCATTTAAATGAGTGTCTGTTAGGATCTGACCCTACTTTCCATGAAGATTTATGTAAGAAGGACAGAAGAACTGTTTCCACCCAGTGGGGTCTCTGTCTGCCTTCCTTATGCCTCTGCGCAGCCTGACAGGCTCCAGATGGAGTGGCCTGGCCCCTGCTCCACCCCCACAGGCCCCAGGCTGCTGTCTGGCACCAGTGGGGCCAGGCTGGCAGCATTTCTGCCTTCTGCCTTGGGTACAGGGGGCTACCTCCCCGCCCATGCCAGGCTGACCTTCCCCACCACATAGAGCATGTTGGTGTCCACATCATAGAAGGGAAATAGCACTCCTGAAGAGCCATCTAGGTCTTCCTCTATGAGAGGCACAGAGAGGTCATCCTGTGAGGAAAGGGAAGACCAGAAAGGTCAGTGGTCACTCAGTCTGGACTGGGGAGGGGAACAATGTGCTCTGTGAGACAAGAATTCCTGCCATGGCGGGGGGGGCGTTGTGTGTGTTAGAGAGAGAGATTTGAGTTTGTGTGTGTGTGTGAGAGAGAGCCTGAGTTTATGTATGTGTGCAAGACAGACTGAGTTAGTGTGTGTGTATAAGAGAGAGACTGAGTTTGTGTGCATAAGAGAGACTGAGTTTATGTGAGTGTGTGAGAAACAGCCTGAGTTTATGTGTGTGTGTAAGAGAGACTGAGTTTATGTGAGTGTGTGAGAAAGAGCCTGAGTTTATGTGTGTGTGTAAGAGAGAGACTGAGTTAGTGTGGGCGTGTAAGAGACAGAGACTGTGTGTGTTTGAGAGAGACAGAGTGAGTTTGCATGTGTGAGAGACTGAGCTTGCACATATGTGGGGCATGGGGAGGCTCCCCCAGATTCTTGAGGTCCATGTGTTGGCTGCTCTTTAATAGAGATGCTTTTAAAGACACTGAAACACCACCACCGTCTTCTACTTGCCATTAACAAACCACTTTTCAGACACCTAATCTCGCTCTGATCCTCCCGCACCTGTTTTATTTGTTTATTTCAGCAAATGAACAAAGAGACCCAGAAAGGGGAAACGATTTGCCCAGTCTTTCGAACGTCTGTCAAGTGCTCCTTCATATCAGTACTGCTTGGCCTGGCCTTCACGCGAGCCCCGCGGCCCACCTCCTCTCCCACAGCTCCCCTAAATGACAAGCTCTTCCTGTCCACGCCCTTCAGTATTTCATTCCCAGTCTTTGCTCTAGCTGTTCCCTCTGCCCAGAAGGCCCTTTCCTTCCCCCATCCCCCACCCCCAGTCCCGGGCCCAGATTCAGTCACTTGCCCTCCCCCACACCAGAGCCTCTCATGAGTCCTGACCAGCTCTCTCTTGGAACAACAACATGCACACAGGTCTGGGTTCACCCAGTGGGCTGTCAGCATCTCCCTGTTATTCATGCCTGGATCCCCAGCACCTGGCAGACTATGTTAAGTAGGTATTTGAGAAATGAATGAACAAATGAATGAAGTGAGCACTCAGCTGAGAGGTAAAGGTGAGGGATGGGGGTGGTACTGGGTGCGAGACTCACCTGGTCCCACAGGGCCATCTGCCGGTTGTTCCATCGGGATGTACCCGTGGACAGCAGCTTCTTCAGGTTCCCCAGAAACAGCACCTTGTTGGCCCGGTGCCCCTTGTAGTTGGCTTCCTGGAAGGACAGGTGAGGCTGATGGTAGAGAGACCCTGGGGGCGGGTGGGGTTTCTGGAGTCCCTGACATTAAGCTGCTTCTCCACTGGGAATGCCTGCCTTTCTCACCCCAACTCTGCCTGCAGAACCCTGCAGGGGCACCACCTCTAGGAAGCCTTCCGTGCACATGGAGTCTCTCCCTTCTATTTTGTTGAGGGTTATTTTTCTGAGCTATAGGAGAGGCAAACTTCTGCCCAGCTCCATGCTCTTTCCGGAAGAGTGTTGAGAATCTACTGTGTGCCATGCACGGGGCGGGCAGGCAGTGTCACCTGCGTTACCTCATTTAATCTCTGACAGAAAGGACTACCACCTGCCGCTGCAGAAGAGGAAACAGGCTCAGACAGCAGGAAGCACTTGACTAAGGTCACACGGTGGAGAATCAGTGTGGCCTTCAGCTCTCCTGACCCCGTGGCCAGTGACAGAGCTGAGGTGAACCCATAAGCACTGGAGTTAGACCAGGTTCAAATTCCAGCTCTCAATAGGAGCAAGTCACTTAACCTCTCTTTGGCCTCAGTTTCCTAACCTGAAAAATGGGAATATCCTATCTCCCAGGGATGCTGAGAGTTTAGAAGGGGATAACATATGTGAAGGCTGTTCTCAGAAGCCTCCCCCTTCCCCACTCTGCTCCTGGTTCCTCTCAGCCCTATCCTCTGACCCTACACTAGGTGTTAGCCCAGCACTGACCTTGAGAACGGTCCCCACTCGGGGGTCAAGGATCCGAATCTTGCGGTCTTTACAGGTGGTGGCCAGCAGGCTGCCGTTGGTATTGAAGGACATGGAGAGGATCACGTCTTGGTGACAGTCAATTGTCCTCACGGGCCTCATGATGACACACTCCTTTGTGTCCAGGTTCCAGACCATCACCTGCATGGCACAAAGCTGACTGAGCACAGCAGCATGGCCCCCCTCCTCTGCCCCTGGCCCTCACAGCCACACGCCGGCCGGGCTGCGGTGAAACACAGTATCCCCAGGAGGGAAGCTGCAGATGGTAGCCTGGCCAAGAAGCCTTGGGTGGGATGGATCTGCGACTGAAGCTGCTACGCACTAGCGGAGGAAGCTAGGAGTCAGGCTGTCTGGCAGTGAAAGGAAAATACCATCTGCCTTTGAGCAACAAAACATCCTTGCTAGGAGGACCCCAGGGGACCAGCTAATCCAGGGAGTTTCAAACTGTTATTAGCAGCAGCTTCCACCTCATGCAGATAAACAGGGCCGCCATGTTTAGTTGCACAGGTTGTGCACGGCCTAGCTCCATAGCCCAGAATGTAAACAGCGTCCCCTGGAGTTGTGCACAGTATAACCTGCACAAACATAGGCAGTAACCCTGCAGACATACCCTACACAAACAGATAAGAAAGTGCCTCTGATCAGGAGGTGAAAAGCCCAGAGCCCCCCCCAGCCCCTCCTCCCTCCACTCTTTGATCCATCACAGAGGCCCCTGAGGTGCCTCTGTAACCCGTATAGAGTTGTCGTAGGAAAAGTTTAAAAGCCTTGGCTATGGTCCCATCAACCCCATTTGTGTACAGCTTGGGAAGCTGAGGCCCAGTGAAGGCAAGGGACTTGCCCAGGTCATACAGCAAGTCAGAGGCCTAGTTGGGAGAGAATCCACAGGGCTTGGAAGCAGGGAGACTTCTCTGGGCAGGGCCCAGCCCATGCCCTCCAGGCAGACCCACCTTATAGTCATAGCCAGAGCTGAAGAGGATGTCGGCGGCTGTGGGGTGCCATTCCAGCAGGCCCACTCTGCGGGAGTGGCCTACCAGTTCCTTCTTGAAGACTGTGAGGTTCTTTGACAATAGCTGCTTCGGGATGTCCCAGATCTTAATCTGGCAAGGAGACACGGCCCAGGGGGAGAGTTAGCCAAAGCCACCTCAGACTCCTGCCACCCCAAGCCACAGAACCAACTGCCCAGCAGAAGGGCCAGGGGAGCTCTCTGTGCATCCACCTCTCACTCAGTGGCGGGGGAGCCTGGGGCCCTCAGAAGGGCAGGGGCTTAATCAAGGTCCCCCAGCCTGAGCAGGGGCAGGCATTGAGCCAAGATAAGCCAAGGTTTCCAAATCTGTACCCTGGTACTCCCTGCCATCCTACTGACCTGAGGCGGTGGGCCACAGGTCTGTTTCCCAGGCTAGATGTCAGAGCAAACCTGCCTCCCAGCCTAGGATATCCCCCAAAATACAATGGTCAGCCCACTCCTTGTTCAAAGGCCCAGGGTGGAGCCTCGAATGCCAGGATGACACATTTGTGCTACATTCCCAGGGCACTAGGGAGCCAGCGCAGGCTCTGGATTAGAACTGAGCAGTGGCAAATTCTGTGTTTGGAGGAGCCCTCGGATTGGATTGCCTGTAAGAAGAAAGACTGAAGGCCAGAAGATGAAGCTGGATGGGGTCATAGGCCTGTAGTCCACAGTAAGGGCCTAAGAGAAGGGCTGGGGCTTCTTTTCGGATCACAGTCTTAGCCTGGCAGGTGGACTTCAGCTCAGCCTAAAGAAGGAACATCTAATAATCAGCGCTGTCTGAGAATGGAACGGGCTGCCATGGCAGAAAGTGACCTCCCCGTCATGGAGGTATACAAATGGAGGTACTAGGGGATGCGGCAGAGGAAAATGGAACTGAGGATGGTGCTGGCCTGATGTTCCTCATTGTCCGGCAGGGTTTCCAGGCCCCTACATGATTGTTCATACCCCTCTTAGAAATACACAGGTTTTTCAAACAGACTTTGTTTCAATTCAATTCAGCAAATATTTATTTCCTGGTCATCTTGGATTTAAAACCAGGAAGCCAACCCCACAAGAGTAGTGCCAGGCTCCAGACAGATTGGTCTGAGGAGGGCAGTGGCCGCACAGAACTGGACCTGGACTGGAGGGCAGACTCTCAGCATGACTGTTTGGGAGGTGTAGACACCATCCCCAAAACTGGTGCAGCAAAAACTGTCCACTCCCCAGAGCTGGAGAGCCATCCCTCCCCGACAGGTCCCAGGGCACAGGGAGGAGACAGCTGAACGTTTAGTTTGCAAGGGCTTAAATTCACTCTGGGGCACTGCTGGGGGCAGAAGAGGCATTGCCACTCCCGATAATCATGTCCACTCTCCCTGTCCCTGGGGCTTCTGGGACTGGAGAGCGGAGGACCACGGGGCCAGATAGGGATTTAATAGTCCTTTAGGGAAGCCTTCAAAGCAAGCTTGAAAGCACAGGTATTACAGCAGTGGCAACAGTGTCAGGTATTTGATATCCTCTTAGAAGTCCTGCACTCATTGGAGACAAAGCCAATTTTCACAGGGTCTGACTGTACTTTTGGTGAAATCACCTCGGGAGGCACTGTCCTTTATATTCCTCAGCATCCTTTATACAGAAACCGACACAAGTCTTCTTAGAATTTTCTGCCTGCCTCTCCTGATGAATTGGTCTGCTACCTTTGATTAGACAGTGAGGGTTTGCAATATATTTTATCTCCCCTTTTGCCTTGGCTGCTAGGCAGCTCAGAGCTAAACCTGGAGCTCAGCTGCTGCAACCCTCCTTAGCCTACATTTCTTGTATTATTTCCTCACCTTCCTCCATCTGTGGTTCTTGCTATTTTGAGAAGTGGCATAGCTCAGTGGAATAAGAATGGGCCCTGGAGTCAGATGGCCTCAGTCTAAAGCCTGGCTCTGCCTCCCACAAACTGTGTGATCATGGGTAAACTGCTGTACCTCTCTGATCCTTGGCTTCTCCATCAGAAAATTATCCTACCTTGTGGGGTTGCTGGGAAGACTGAGTGACATGGTACGTATAATGAGTTGGGAACACAGCGTGCTCACAATAAATGGTAATTATGACTTTTTCCCTTACTTTAATCATCTGATCATATCTGTGTCTTTTAAGCCACACCCACTGTGTTTCAGAAGTAGGCACAGAATAAATTATAAATAAATAACACTAGGCATTGTGGGGACAGGGACTATGTCCTTGGTACAGAACAGGAGCTCAAAAATATTGGTGGGACAGAAGCTTTGGGGATGGTTTTGGTGTCCATATTCATATAAGGCTCCACTCCCATCCTTTTGAATCTCTCTTTCCCATTGTCTGTAAGATTAAGTGGCCTAATATTTTCTGGCCACAATAAAAATGCCCCTCACAGCATTTTATAGTTCCCCCAAAGGGTGGACTTTCCCATTGGAATATGAATCTCATTGGATTTTCATAAGACAGGTGGGAGCTATTATGTCCATTTTATAGGTGGAGAAACTGAGGTACATAGAGAGGCGGGGTGGTACTCCTAAATCCCATAGAGTCCAGAACTTTTCCTCTTCAATCTGCTTACCTCCCTCCCCCACAGTGACCTCACCTTGGTGATGAAGGAGTCAGGGGGCATCAGAGATGAGCACAGACACCATTCGACCCCGCCCCCGTTCCTCTCCCACTCTTTTCAGTTATGAGAACTTCATGGGCTGCTCAAAGCTGGTACTCACCGTGGTATCTTCAGAACAGGAGGCAATCTGGAAATCATCAAAAGGGTTCCACTTGACATCTAAAACGTTTCCTCTATGTCCACAGACCTTGGGGAAGTGAGGGTCCAACTTTCCTGTCTGCAAAACAGTGCCCAAGAGGGTTTGGGAGGAAAAGGGGCTAATTTGACTTCAGCTTCTGGATGGTCAGTCAGTCAGCAATCACTGAGTAGACAGGAAAACGTAAGGGACAAAACCTACGACAGATTCTCTGTGTGATCCTGAGTGAATTACTCCACTTCTCTGAGCCTCAGTGTCCCCCTCAGTAAGACAGAGGCAATAACAGGTATTTCATAGGGGTAGTGTGAGGATCATAAGACATGAGGTAAAGAAAGGCACAGTGCACGGAACATAGTAGGTGCTCAATAAAAGGGCATTTCCCCTCATACTCTGCTGGTGGGAGTGTAAAATGGTGTAGCTGCTGTGGAAAACAGTCTGGCAGTTCCTCAAAAGGTTAAACATAGAGTTACCATTTGACTCGGCAGTTCCACTCCTAAGTACATACCCAAGAGAGATGAAAAACACATGCCCACGCAAAAACGTGGATGTTCATATCACTCATCATAGCCAAAAAATGGAAACAACCCAAATGTTCATTACCTTATGAATCGATAATTTATTGTTGTTGCTGTCAGGTGCCGTTGAGTTGGTTCCAACTCATAGTGACCCTATGTACAACAGAACTAAAACACTGCCTGGTCCTGCACTATCCTCATGATCGTTATTACGCTTGAGCCCATTGTGGCAGCCACTGTGTTAATCCATTTCACTGAGGGTCTTCCTCTTTTTCGCTGACCCTTTACTTTACCAAGCATGATGTCCTTCTCCAGGGACCTGTCCCTCCTGATAACATGTCTGTCTTAGGCTAGGTTCTCTGAGAAGTAAAACCAGTAAAGCATATAAATATATATGTAGAGAGATTTATATCAAGGAAATGACTCACAAGGTTGTGGAGGCTGGAACGTCTCAAGACCATGGGTCAGGATAGAGGCTTCTCCTATTCATATAGCCGCAGGTGCTGGTAAACTCAAGATCGGCAGGTCAGATAGCAGGGCTCTTGCTCACAGGCTGGGAAGATTGGTGAATCCCAAGATCGGCAGGCAAGACTGCAGGTAAGCTGCTAGCTCGAGTCCCAAGGTCAGATGAACAGGAGCCAAATGCAGGATCCAGAGCAAGCAAAGGCCCACAAGTCTTGCCAGAAAGTCTACTTATATATTTAATGCAGGCCACATCTCCAAGGAAACTCCCTTTCAACTGACTGGCTATTCACAGCGGATGCCATCATGAAAGTGATCACATTATATCAAATCTCATCATGGAAGTGATCACATCATCATATGACTGCCAAACTACATCGTAACTGCCAAACCACTGAGAATCATGGCCCAGCCAACTTGACACATAACCTTAACAATCACATTGTCCAAAGTATGTGAGACGAAGTCTTGCCATCTTTGCTTCTAATGGTCATTCTGGCGGTACTACTTCCAAGACAGATTTGTTTGTTCTTCTGGCAGTCCGTGATATATTCAATATTCTTCACCAATACCATAATTCAAAGGCATCAGTTCTTTTTCGGTCTTCCTTATTCTTTGTCCAGCTTTCACATGCATATGAAGCAACTGAAAACACTACGACTTGGGTCAGGTGCACCTTAGTCCTTAAAGTGACACTTTTGTTTTTTAACACTTTAAAGAGGTCTTTCGCAGCACCTTTGGCCAATGCAATGAGTCATTTGATTTCTTAACTGCTGCTTCCATGGGCGTTGACTGTGGATCCAAGTAAAATGAAATCCTTCACAGCTTCAATATTTTCTCCATATATCATGATGTTATTTACTGTTATATGATGTTATTTACAGTTGTGAGGATTTTTGTTTTCTTCATGTTGAGGCATAATCTATACTGAAGGCTGTGGTCTTTGATCTTCATCAGTAAGTGCTTCAAGTTCTCTTTACTTTCAGCAAGCAAGGTAGTGTCATCTGCATATTGCAGGTTGTTGATGAGCCTTCCTTCAATCCTGATGCTGCATTCTTCTTTATCTAGTCCAGCTTCTCGGGTTATTTGCTCAGTATACAGACTGAATAAGTATGGTGAGAGGATACAACCCTGACACACACCTTTCTTGACTTAAAACCCTTTGTTCTGTTCGAATGGCTGCCTCTTGGTCTATGTACAGGTTCCTCATGAGCACAATTAAGTGTTCTGGAATTCTCATTCTTAGCAATGTTATCCATAATTTGTTATGATCCACAGTTGAATGCCTTTGCATAGTCAATAAAATACAGGTAAACATCTTTCTGATACTCTCCACTTTCAGCCAAGATCCATCCGACATCAGCAATGATATCCCTGGTTCCATGACCTCTTCTGAATCTGGCTTGAATTTCTGGCAGTTCTCTGTGGATGTACCACTGCAACCACTTTTGAATGAGCTTCAGCAAAATTTTACTTGTGTGTGATATTAATGACACTGTTGGATGATTTACACATTCTGTTGGACCACCTTTCTTTGGAATGGGTACAAATATGGATCTCTTAATGTGGCGTATCCATACAATGGAATATTATTTATCTATAAAAAGGAATGAAGAGGAGGCAGTGGTGGTTCAGTGGTAGAATTCTCGCCATCCTCGTGGGACACCTGGGTTTGATTCCTGGCCAATGCACCTCAAGTGAAGCCATCATTCCTCTGTCAGTGAGGGCTTATGTGTTGCTGCGATGCTGAACAGGTTTCAGCAGAGCTTCCAAACTAAGACAGACAGGAAAAAAGGCCTGGCGATCTACTTCTGAAAATCAGCCAATGGGGGAAAGGGCAAGGAATGAAGTAATTGATACATGCTATAACATAGATGGGAGCCTTGGTGGTGCAGTGCTTAAGCATTCGGCTTAAAAGGTAGGCAGATTGAATCCAGCAGCCGCTCCTTAGGAACCATATGGGGCAGGTCTACTCTGTCCTGTGGGGTCACTATGAGTCGGAATTGACTCAATGGCAAGGGGTTCGGACTTTTGTTGGTTATAACATAGATGAACTCTGAACACGTTATGCCAAGTGAAAGAAGTCACACAAAAGGCCACATATTGTAGGGGTTCCATTTATATGAAATGTCCAGATTAGGCAAATCCATAGAAACAGAATGTGGATTAGTCATTGCCAGGAACTGGGGGAAGGGGCAATGAGGAGTGACTGCTCAATTGGTGTGGGGTTTCCTTTTTAGGGTCATGAAGATGTTCTGGAATTAAATAGTGGTGATGATTGCACAATCTTGTAAATACACTAAAAACCACTGAATTGTACACTTCGAAATGGTGATTTTATGGGCTGTGAATTATCTCTCAGTTGGAAAAAAGAGCATCTCCCTTCCTTTTCTCCTTCCCTGCTGAAAATTCCCGTATAGGTGCTGGGAGGGCCACACAGGTCCCCAAGCCCATGCCACACAGCCCTGAAGCTGAGATTTCCAACTCCACTGACAGATATGGATTTCCTGGAGTCTCAGGGCAGTGACACTTCTGTTCAGTCACAGAACCTTGGAGCTGTTAGCGTCCATGCCCCTCATTTTACAGATCCCAAGACTGAGGCTATAAGTGATCTGTCCAGGCCATACCACATGGCGTTGGCGAAAAGGGACCAGGACCCAGGCCTTCTACCTGCCAACGTAGGCGTCACCCCACATCTACCACCTGGCCTTGGGGTCTGGAGCCCACCCACCAGAATGTTCCACTGACCCTTTTTATTTCTAAGCAAAAGAGATAGCCGAGGAGGGAACTGGCCAACATCATTCATCCAGAAAATATTTACAAGATACCTCCAGGACAGGCCCTAGGCGAGGTGCTGGGTGCAAGGTGAATGCAAGACACAGTCCTTGACCTCGCAGAATCAATAGTCTCAGGATTCCTTTAAAGGGAACTTTCAGGCACAGGGTGGACTCAGGGAGCACTCAGCCTCCTCTCCTTCCTCACCTCCCTGACTCTGCAGAGACCACTGCGCTTTTGTGTGATGTCCCTAAGACTGTGCCCAGTGATGACTAAGCAAAGATGGAGGGGTGGTCTCTGACCTTGCTTTGAAGTCTGGGAGGTGGGCAGCTGCAATGAGAGTGGAAAAAGAGCTTCCCAGCCACCTCTGGCAAAGCAGAAAAGGGAGACAACCCAAGTCCCTGGTTCATGGGGTTTTATGCATGCAATCAAATATCTCTGTAAACAGAGAGGTGGTCTTAGGCTCCTCTTCCAGAAGTACTCTCTGCCCAATTCAGCTCTCTGCTCTCAGGAATAGCGTATTACTGGTAGATGACCTAAAGACTGAACCGACACTGAATCCTGTACAGGAAGGGAGAATGCTATAAAGGACACTATTTGACAGCTTGGCACACGAAGGGTAGATTAGATGAGAATACTGTATTAATGTTAAATTCGCTGAAGTTGATAATGTACTATGGTTATATACTTTTTTCTAGGAAACTCTGAAGTATTTAGGGATAAACAGCCACAATGTTTGAAACTTATGCTCAAATGGTTCAGAAAAAGAATTATAAACATGCATACACCTTCAAATAGAGAGGAAGGAAAGGAAAAGAACTTGGACATGCGTCCTTTGTTAGTCATGTGTGAGGAGGTCGGCAAAAATTCCATTTCTTTCAAATTATTCTGCTGAAAAAAAATAGGCCCCCAGACTGGGAAGAGAGGTGTACGCTCCCTGCCCACTCCGAGAACACCTGCTCACCGTGCCACCACTAGCTCATGGGACCGTTGCTCCAGCCACTGCCCTCTCGCCCAGCCTCCAGGTCATCCTGCATGCTGTCCTCACAGTGAGCGCTCAAGAATTAAAATCTGAGCATGTTATGCCTCTGCTCAAAGTCTGCAAGTCTATTTTTTATCCATAAAATATGAAATATGAAAAAAGTCTCTTCCTTGCAGAGTTGTTGTGATGGCTAAATGAGATGCTACACATAAAAAGCCTAACAGTGATGTCCTACAGTAAGCGCTCACTACATAGTAGCCATTACTATATGTATATGTGTGTGTGAGTGTGTACAGACACATATATCTACATATTGATACTGAGAAAAAAAGACTGGAAGGAAATGT